TGACCTGGGCTGGTCCCCACAAATCCTTCTCTGCCCTAGGCTCATGGGCTCCCTGAACCCCTCCTCTGCCCTCCCGCCCACCCGGCTCTGCTTCCCCAGCCTGTGTGTGTTGGGCAGGTGTCCTCAGCATGGGCTCCTCCTCCTGCCCTCGCTCCTGGCTCTGCCACCTGTCCAGCTCCCCTGCTCCCAGCCACAGTCTTCCTGCCTTGGTCACATGTCACCTGCTCTGACCACCAGAGCTTCACCTGTTTAACTTGAATTTTAAGGCATGAATGGTTCACCAGGCAGAAAAGGAGGAGGCCAAAGGAGGCCTCAGCAGAGGGCCTGGCCCATGCAAAGGCTCTGCAGGGACAGCAGCATGGCTTGTTTGGAAGGCTGCCTGCAGCTCAGCGAGGCTAGGACAAGGCTAGGACAAGGCGGCTGGGGCAGGACAGGATTGGGGAGGACAAGGGTGAAGTTGAGGCAGGAGGGAGACCCCCAGCTGGGGCAGCCACCTGTGGATGGCCAAAAGGCCAAGTTCTGCAGCCTGGACAGCCCAGCCACCCTTCTGGTGCTCTGAAAGGGTTGGGGTCTCCAGGAGTGCTGGCTGTAATGACAACAGCAAGCACTTCTACCGCGCTTCCTCTCTGCCTCACAGCACCCCATGGGGTGGGTACCTTGTCTCTCATTTCGCAGATGAGAGAAAAAGACAGGACCCTCCCCCCAGCCTTCCAGCTGGTCCACAGGTGGGGAGCGCCCCAGGGAGGCATCTGGTCACCCGACCTTGGTCTCCCCTTTCTCCCCCACCATGCCTGGGTCTGGCCCTGCCGCTTTGCAGAGTATAGAATCCCACGAGCCCTGGACTGGTGGAAGGCCTGGGTCTCATCCCTGATCCACTGTCCTCTTGCTGCGGGACCCCCAGGCAGTGGTTTAACCTCTTTGAGCCTCAGTTTGCTCTTCTGGGACTTGGGGGTCGTAGTTTCTGCCTTATCTCCTGCTCCAGTTCCGGTGAGAGTCCCAGGAGTGAGCAGATAAAGAGGGCTTTTGAAAAGTACAAAGAGCTGCACTCATGCTGGTGCGATTATTATTGTTACCTCGATGCAGAGATAAGGGAGGGGGAGGAGGTGCAATGACAGTTGCCAAGAAACCCAGGAGCTGTCAGCAGCCGCTTCCGGCCTGGCCCATCCCACTCTGGAGCTGGGCCCTTCCCCCCACACCCCTGCCTCGCCTTTTCCCTGGGAAAGATGGGTGCTCGGAGTGGAGGGGAGCTGGGGCCAGCTGGCTGGTGGCCACGTAGCGCAGGGGTTGAAGGTGACCCCGGAATGTCCCCAGCCCAGACTCCAGGTTGGCTCTGGCTTTCTGTGTGACCTTGGGCAAGTCACCTCCTCTCTGGCTGCTGCCTTTTCTGTGTCAGAGGAGACAGTGGGCAGGTGTCCAGGCCAGACAGGGCAGGGTTGGCTCTGGACCTGGGGAAGATGCTTGGCGGTGGCTACAGGAGCCAGGGACTGTAGTGGGAGGTCACAGGGGGCAGAGGTCCAGGTGACAGGACTGAGGGCCTGGGCTGAGGGTAGTGGGATCATGTGTAGTAGAAGGAACCCTTGGCTGGAGTCAAACCTCAGCCTTGCCTTTTCCCTGGTGTGTGACCCCGGCCTTGTCACTCACCCTCTCTGAGCCGCAGTTTTCTCATCTGGAAAAAGGGTCGATGAATCTCATCTGGATTTTTAAAAAGAGCCATAGTAGTGATCGAATGAGACTACGCCTCTGTAAACTGTAGGGTGCTGTGCAGATACAGGGGAAGGGGGAAGGGAGGAATGGAGAAGGGGGGAAGGGGGAGAGCTCCCCATGTCTCGGCCTGCTCTGGGAGCTGCTGCACGTGTAGGAGGAATGCAAAGCATTTTAAGCTGAGCCAGGCCACAGAGTCAGGAAGGATCTTAGAGATGTGGGGAGGGGACAGAGACTGGAGGACCCCCATGTGAATGGAACAGTGGAGGCCAGGAGACAAGGGAGGGATAGAAGAGAGGGGGCAAGGACAGAGGTTCAAGTTCATAGAGAGGGAGGACACGACCAAGTTGGGGGGTCTGCAGAGGCCAGGCACAAGGGGCTCGGAGGGGTAGGGCGGAGATGGTGAGCAGTGAAGGCGGACAGGAGGAGGCAGGGGATCAGGGAAGGACAGAGGGCTGGGGGGAGCTGAGAGGCTGAGTTCATTCGTTGCCTCAAAAGTGTTTGCTGAGCAGCTACTATTCACTAAGAGGTGGTGTCATGCAGCTTTAGAGGGGAGCATCCAGACCCAGATGGTGGCGGGCGGGGACCGTTTCAATCCTCAGACTTTCATCTACTGTGTGTGACCCTCACAAGTTACCTAACCTCTCTGTGTCTTGGTTCCCTCTTTTGCAAGATGAATATTAACTGAGGTTAGAGCAGGGCCGGCACGCAGCAAGCCCCACGTCAGCGCCGGCTGCTGTCACTATTACCTTCCCAGCCTGGTGTCCCGGCTCCCATCCCTGCGTTGGGGTTGGGAAGGCGCCATGTGCCTGGGTCCACAGGGTTGGCCACCCAGTATAACGTTCAGATCTTGGCCTGTGGAGCCAACAAGCTCGTGTTCAAATGCCTGCGCCGCCTCCTTAGCTGTGCAACCTTGGCCATCAGCGCACCTTTCTGAGCCTCAGTTTCCTCATGTGGGAAGCAGCAGTTTCTGAGCACCTGCCTCCTTTGGGGGGGGGGCTGTGAGGATTAAATAAGATCACACAAAGCACAGGGTAGGCCGTGGCTTTGGTTATTACTGTCCCTCTTCCCCCCTTCAGGGCTGGGGATAGGGGCAGGTGGTCCTCGAGCCTCCAGTTTCCTCCTCTGCCCCTCCTGGAGCCCCTCCCTTTCCCTGCAGCAATGGCTTTTTAGGTGGAGTCACCTGGGACTCTGGCAGGACTCTGGCCATCAAGGAACTGGATAGTGGGGGCCCTGGGACAGGATCCCCAATGGAAGCCAGAGTGGCCTTGCCATGGGACGCCTCCCTGGTCCTGTGCAACGTGAGCAATCCTGAGTGAGATGGACACCGGGACACAGGGAAACAGGCCGTGCGAGTTCTGGAAGGGGAGTGTGTTAGGGAGCTGCTGCCAGGCTGACCTGCAGTAGCCACCGTCTGAGGCTGGCCATGCCACTGGGCATGAGAGAAGGGGCCCACGTTGCTAGCCTGATCACGGGCAACAGCCACCACTTGGCAACCTGGGCCACACCAAGATGGCGTTCCACCCCCAAGCGGACCTAGAGTCACCCGGGCTTCAATCCCAGGACTTCCTGCCGCTGGGCAGCCTCTGCTTTCCACCCCCCTGCATTGCCCCTGCTCAGTCAAGGGCATGCACTTTAAATTCCAGCTCTGTCACCCACTTGCCAGGGGAAGTGGCTTCACCTCTCCGAGCCTCGGTTTTTCCACTGTAAACATGGGGGTAAATAATAGCAACCTTCCAGCACTACAGTAAGGGTATAATATGTCTGGCACGGTCCCAGGCCCAGAGTAGATTTCAACGGGAGCCTCGATGGCATTTGCTTGGACACTTCTACGGGCCTGTGTTCCCGTGTCAGTGCACTGTGCAATCTGTAGGGGCCTGTGTTTAGGACGTCCCTTGCCCGCAAACCTTCGGTGACTCCCTGCTGCCAACCTTCATTCATACTTTCAGTCATTCAACAAATATTTAATGAGACCTTAACGTGGGGAGCCAGAGTTGATGTGAATGAGTGAATATGGAAGTGTTCATTGAGTGACTATCAGTGACCTTCCCAGGCTCTGTGATGAATTTTTTGGAGACTGAGGCTGAGAGGGGCTGTGTCGCTGACTCGAGCTCACCTCGCCAGTCAGTCCCTAAGGATATCTCCCCCACACTGAGGCCAGGGGCTTGAAGTGCCACTGCCACCATAGCCATCCTTTTGGGTCAAGCACTGTCCAGCACCCCTGGGAGGCAGAGAGGCCTCGGTGCCCGAGCAGGGCTGGGGATGCTTCCCCCGGTTCCTGCAGGACTAGCTGGGCCACGGGGAGCTAGCAGGGAGGCTCAGAACTTCCTCAGAGTCTCCTTCCTGGGCCCGGTTCTCATGGGCCCTTCCCCTCTTGGGGTGTGGCAGTCCCAGCTGCCCTGACTCAAGCCCGCCTTAGGCCACTGGGGATCACCTGACTCACTCTCGAGGGACCAGCCTCCTCGATGGGACCCGGGCAAGGGTGCAGCCACGCCAGGGTGGCCCTAGGCATTGGCGGAAGCCAGGCCTGCTCGCCGGGCCCCAGCTCCCTGGGTCCCAGGAGCCACTAGGCATTTCCTCTCCCTGACCCCAGAGGTGGCCTCAGCGGGTGACAAGAGCTGACTTCACCCTCACCAGACCTGTTTTTGTCCTCAGGGATGGGTGTGGGTGTGGGCAGAGTCCAGGGTTGGAGTCAGACAGCTGTCATGCAGATGCCAGCTGCTGCTGACCAGCCATGTGACCTGTGTGTACATCCAGGTCCTTGTGCACAAAGTAGGAATACCGGTGTGGTGAGAAGTCCATGCCTGCAGGCCCGGAAAGAGGGCCCAGCACTGGGCTTGGCACATAGTGCCAGTTATTGTCATTATCATCAATAACAGCAGTAGTCGTGCAGCCTCTCGGCCCTGAGGCTGTTGTCTCCCTGAGGCTGAGGGAAGGGTCCGTAGGTGCCAGGGCACCCTTCTTAGTCCAGAAGTCTCAGCCCTCTACAGCACCTCTCACTGCCCCCTGCCTCAGTCTACCCATCTTCAGAATGGGCTGTGGACCTCCTGTTGGCTTGAGGCCCGATGGAGAGCCTGGGGAGAGGCCTGTCCAGCCCTCTGCCCTCCGGGGAAGGAGCACCGTTTGGCAGCCCCGTTCAGGAAGCCCCTCCTCTCACTCCTCCTGGGGAATCCAGTCCCCACTCCTCCATGAAATCCATCCCCCGTCACGTCCCCAGCTCTGAGAGTGACTCTTCCTCCCAGGGTTCCCAAATCTCCCAACTTGGTTATCCCTGACGCCAGACTCTTGTTCTCTTCCAGGAGGAGTGATGGGCAGAACCAGCGCTTCCCTCAGGCACTAGACCTGTCTCGGGTGGACTTAGTTCCCTCCTATCCTGCTTCACGCCACCCCAAGGTAAGTGCTCGCTGCATACCTACTGCCCGGTCTGACCCCCACCCCAGGGCTGAGACGCCTAAGGGTGACTACAGGGCAGAGGTAGAACGTTCAGGTAGATGCTGCCAGGGTTTAGCTCCCAAGGGGATCCACTCCTGACCCCTTGGTGGGCCTGGTCCAGTCTCAGAGGAGGTTGAACCAGGGTCTGTAGACTGTTGAGGGGCAGGGGCGGGTTAGGGCTAGTCTAAGCAAAACAGCTGGGAATAACTGGCTGAACAGCTAGTCTTTATTGTTCTCATTGTCAGCGTTACCCTCGGTCTCCTCATCTGTTAATCGGGCACTCCGCAGAGCCACCGTGAGGATTAAAATTGCAGATAGAGCAGCCCGTGCACAGTGTCTGAAGTGGAGTAAGAGCCTATAGACCAGCCTATATGGTTGTCATCGTCAGCATTCAATGTGTGTGCCAAGCCTCGCGCTGGGTTCCAAGGGGCCAGAAATCAACCTGACCCAGACCCTGCCCTCACCAGCCATAGTCCAGTAAAGAGATAAGTAGCTGAACAACTTATGCAGAACATCAAATGCCAGAAATAACTGCTAGTAGTGATGGAGATTTATTATGTGTCAGATGAGTACTTAATGCTTTACGCGCAGTCTCTCATTTCATCCTTGAACTGTAAGTACTAGGCAATAGCTGCTATTGGTACCATTCTGCAGATGAGAAAATCAAGGCTCAGAGGGGTTAAGTTACTTGTCCAAAGTCATACAGGTTGGAGGCTGGGGTCCAGGACCGGATGCAGGCTGTCTGGTGCAGGGGTAATAAGCCCTCACTTTTGCAGTACACATTGCAGTTTCTAAAGCACATCCACAGACATCATGCCACTTGGTCCTTTCGGCAAACCTTGGACAGGAGGCTTTCTGTAGTTGAGGCTCCAGATGGTCAGAGAGGTGAAGTGGTCCTCCCAAGGTCACACAGCCAGGAAATGGCAGAGGCAGGATCTACCAGGCTCCTCCCCGAGAGCTCTGGCCTGGGACAAGGGCTGGGCACCTTGCCTAGGCTGGGAGGGCAGATGGCCATAGAATGGTGTCTATGTCAATATGTGGGACCGCTACCTTCAAGGGGGTCCCAAGTAGGGGTGCTGGGGCAGCAGAAGGTGGTTCCTAAGGCCCTCTCCTGCTTTCTCTGCCTGGGCAACAGCCCCAGACTGGGCCCTGTGGATCTGGGACTTGGCAAGGAAGGAAAGACTCAATGGCAGCCCTCACTTGACAGTGGGGTTCATGAATGAGGCGCCCAGCCCCTCTCCCACTAAGCATCCTGGGCGGATGCCTGGGTTCTCACCAAGGGCTGTGTGCCCTTGGACCACAGCTCCCCCTCCCTGAGCTTCAGTCCTCCCCTGAGGGAATGAGGATCACAGCAGCCCATCACCCTGGGTCCCGCCTGCTCAGACGTTCTGGGGTTGGCCTTCTCGGATCTGTGCTCAGCTGCCTCCCCTCAGGCTGGCTGGCCTCCACCCAGTCTGGCTGGAAGCTTCCATTTGTGCCAACACATCTCAGACAGCAGGCTCCAAACCACCCCTTCCCGACAGCCCACCCCCACCCCAGAATCATCCTCCTTTGACAGGGGAGGAAGCCAGGATCCAGAGAGATTGCGTGATTCATCTGAGGTCCCCAGCAAGCCAGACATGGGCTGTGACATTCTCCAGTTCCCTAACTCTGTGCACATTATAACACTGACAGAACCAGTCTGAGGGGCAAGTGACCCCCCTGTGCCAATGGGCAAATCTTTGCCCCTCTCTGGGCTTCAGTTTCCTCATCTATAAAATAGAGGTGACATGCCTTCTCTACCTACCTTGCCAGCTTGCAACTGGCAGATGACTATGAAGGTACTTTGGAAAGTAGAAATTAGGAAGCTGAACTTTTATCAGCATCATTACATTCCCAGGGCTGGACAGAATACCCCAAAGGGGCACTCCCTTCTCTTTGGGAAGCCACATTTGTACAGACATTGAGCTACCCAGGATCCTCCTACCCACTCCTGCCCGCTGCCATAGAGGTTTTTCCACTTAGGCATTCAGAAATCTGCACACATGTACGTACACAGCCTACCCACACCTATGTATACACATAGTCACAGACACATTCGTATGTCTGCAAATGTATTCAGAGACTTGCGCATGTACACATGCCCGAGATACGCATGTGCAGACACACAAACATACATACCCAGACATTGCCATACACACAGAAACACAAGATGCCCATGTACACACAGCCACAGCCAGTCTTGGAGTCTCATACACATGCACCCACAGCTGCATGCACACCCTCCGCACCACCTGGCACGGAGGCAGTCCGGTGATGTGAGCAGGTCTCACCTCCCCCGGGGGCTGTATGGGAATGGATGTTTCTCCGGCTGCATTTCGATGGGTGCCCGGAAGCGCTCAGGCCTGGAAGTGGCTGCATAAATCAATATTTGCTGCTGTTAATTATTAAAACCAAAGCTACACCGTGTCTGGAACACACATCTCCGGAGTTCCTGCCGACTCTCTGGGCCCAAACCTGACCCAGGGCCATAGTCTGGGGGAAAGGAAGGCGCAGTGCTTTCCTTCTAGGAGCCGTTGGCCCCGGGGATAGAGGCTGGGGAGCAGCTGCTGGCAGCTCTTTTGGGAAGCTGAAGAGAGGTCGGGCACTGAGCTGGTGGGCAGCCTGGCCCCTGCAGCATCCAAAGCAGCTGGTGTTAACTTGGCCACCACTCAGGAAGCGTTTGCCATTTTCCAACATCTGTCTGGAGGAGGGGGTAGCAAGGCCCTGTCCCTGTCCACACTGTGCAGTGGCTATATCAGGCCAGGGACACACTGCCGGGTCGTCTGGAAGGGCCTGCAGAGGCCTCATATTTTATAGATGGGGAAACTGAGGCCCAGAGAGATGGCAAGGACTCACTCAAGCCCACTCAGTAAGTTGTAGCAAGGTCAGAGCTAGGACCCACGTCCTGAAGTCCCCTTGAGCCTTTTTCTCGATACCATGGGGTCTTGGCAGCCTCTCCCCAGGCACTGTGGCCATCTCCCCCAGGGTCTGGGGCAGATGGGTGTGGGGAAGGGAGGGAACAGGTCAGCCACCGTCAGGGACTGGGAGCAGAGTGGAGGTGAGGAGGAGGGAGGCGAGAGACCCCAAAGAGTAGCTCCAGGCCTTTCCCTGGATTCTGGTTCTGCCTCTTCCTAGCTGAGTGGTCTTGAGCAAGCTGTTTCACCTCTTGGAATAATTTTCTCATCTGCGTAATGGGAATGACTTTTGTACCTTCTGGGTTGTGGCTAGATGATGAGACATGCGAAGGACCCAGCATTAAGTAGGTGCTCAAGAAAGCCCTCTGTCTCCAAGGTAACCCCCTCCTCTTCCTGTCCGGCTTCACAGCTGGACCCAAGAACCCTGTCCTTTAGGCCCTGAGAGGGAAGACGGAGAAGGCGGGGTGGGGGCGGGGCGCTGGGGAGAGCCGGCCAGGCCCCGGGGAGCCCGACGTGCTGAAAGCTCCGAGCGCTCAGGCCAGAGCGCAGGCGCAGTGTCCGGAGCCCGCGGGCCGGGCCGGGCGGCGGGGTGCCTCGCCGCCCCGCGCCGCCGTACCTGGCGCCGCCCTCCGGCAGCGCAGGCAGCGCCGCGCGGGAGCCGGGAGCGCGGAGCTCTGGCTGCGGGCCGGGCCGGGGCGCGCGCGGCGCGGAGCCGGCCGGCGCAGCTGAGGCGCCGCCGGGCGGGGCCGGCCGGGGCGCCTCGGGATGGCGCAGCCGCGGCCCCCAGCGCCCCACGGCCGTCCGCGCAGGGGCTCGTTGCCCGCTGGGGCCGGCTGGCAGGTGAGGACCGGGCGGGGGCGGCCTGGCTGAGGGGGTCCCGGGCTGGGTCTGCCCGACTTCCTCGGAGCCCGCTGGCGCTGCCCCAGCCCGGGCGGCGTGCGAGGCTCCGTCACGGTGGGTGTGTTAGCTTCTGGGCTGACACGGTCGCGGCGGACGCAGGGCGCACCCCTGCCCTGGGCTCCCGGGCCTGGGGCTCTTTCCACAGCTGCCCGTGGGGCACGGTGGCTCTGAGCGACAGCCAGCGTGGAGTGTGTGTGTGTGTGTGTGTGTGTGTGTGTGAATGAGTGAGTGTGTGTGTTGGGACCCCTTTACCCCTTCCGCTGCCCCCTGGGGGGGGGTCTGGATGTTAAGTGTAACTTGGGGATGGCCCTCTGCGCGTTGGGGATGCCCCCATCTGGGCCACTCCACTCACAGCCTTCGCCATGTGTCAGGGCGTCTGCGGCTCCTGTGAGGCTGTCGCTGTGGGTGTTACTTGTTGCTGTGCCTACACTCCTGGGTGACAGTACCATGTGTCAGTGTTTATGCGACTGTGACTCCTGGTGAGACAAGGTGTATTTGATTGTTCCTGGCCATGTTTGGTCACCCTGAGTGGGGTGCCTTGGGGAACATTTAACGAGCCCCTTATCAGTGTGACAAGTTGGGACTGTGCCTGTCTGAAGTTGTGTGGCTGACCCAGGCACAGATGTCTAAGTTGCTGTGATACAGTGTGTTGATTGACAGATGTGTTTGTCTACCTGGACTTCAGGCATGTGCCTGTGGTTTGTGCTGTGACTGCCTGTGGAGGTGTTGTGTGTGACCATGGGTGACCATGGGCCATGGTCTCCTGTGGACGCCTGCTGTGTATTTTATGGGCTGGGTCTTGCCTCTTGCCTCTGGGGCAGGCCTCAGAGCATACATGGGATGTGTGTATCTTGTGACCTTTAACAGGGCTCTGTGTGTGTGCTCATGTGTGTGAGCCCTTGAGTGCGTGCGTGTGTGTGTGTGTGTGTGAGAGAGAGAGAGAGAGAGAGAGACACAGGTGGTTTTACTCAGTGAGTGTGAGGTTCAGACCTGTGCCCCTCATCCTTGGGGATTAGCTACTCCTGCAGTTACCGGATGCTTCTACCTTTTCTCAGAAGTCTCGTTTACTGTCGTGGGTGTGTGACGCTGACGGCAGGGAGGGCTTGTAGCTGGGAGTAGGGCTCTGTGTCTGCGTTTCCCTGTGTCTGTCGGCACATAGTGTGCCTCCTGGTCTCAGACACGAGGGTGGTTTTGTGCTGTTAGTGTAGCGTTGTATGCAGCTACTGCCATGCAGACCTGCACAGGCGAGGGTTTGCATCGAGTGTGTGTGCACGTGAATCTGTGTGTGTGAGAGGGTGGGCTCGTGTGTAACTCAGGACGCCAACATATGTATTTGTGGGTTAGCACAGAGCTCTGAGTATGAGAAATACTATGCACAGACCCAGTAGCACAGACTCCATTATGTGTGTGTGTGTGTGTGTATGTGTTTCGTGGTACACAAAACATACACATGGTTCAGTGAAACTGTTTAAATATTTGTGTGCAGGCCTCTGAGTGTATGGGGCGTGGGGAGAGAGAGTTTTCTGGTACACAACCCCAGAGCACATGTGTCAGCAGGAGCCTGAGCAGAGCTTTGGAGCGGCTGGGGGAGGGACACGAACCTGGAGGCTCTGGGGGCTTCCCAGGCCCAGCCCCCAGCCCGGCCAGCCGGCAGGGATGCCGCCTTCCTGGAAGGCTCATAGGGAGTTGGCGCTGGCGAGGCCGGTGCTGCCAAGCGCAGCTGGCAGATGCCAGATTAACTCTGCGTGTGCCCTGGCTCGCTGCAGGAGAGGCTGCTCGGGCGGGAGAGCGTGAGGGAGGGCACGCACACAGGTTTTAGGACGGGGGCATCCTGGTGTCTTCTCCCCCTAAGCTCCCCGCAGCGCACACTGCTTGGGGCAGAGTGGGCTGAGCAGTGGCCCTGGCCCGAGCCTCGCCCTTTTCCAGGAGAGGGGAGAACCACAGGCCCTCCTGGGTTCCCAGCTGGTCTCATCTCCGCAGCTGAGACTCGGGGCTTCTCAGGGGTCCACGCGCCAATCCTGGCACTGCCAATCTTGTAGTGACGTGGCGGAGATCTGTCTCTCCCCAAGGGCAGCAGCCCTTCAGGGAAGAGGACTGAGTGGAGTGGGCGGGCTCTGGGCCCCCCTCCCCTAGCAGTTGGCCAGACTCTACGGGTCTCCTCCACAGAGCCACCACCACCACTTTGGTGGCCCCGTCCACTCCCTCTTGCAGCTCAGACAGGTGCCTCGGTCATTGATCAGAATAGGAGGGACCCGGAGGCCTGAGGCGGGTGGAAGCTCCTCTGAGGTTTGGTGGGACCAGTTGGGCCACCCTCAGGACTGACCTCACTTTCCTCGTCTCTGTTGCAGAACACAGATCTGTTTGAGATGATTGAAAAGATGCAGGTGAGGATGGCTCTGAGGAGCCACAGAGCTGCTCTGGGGAGCCACAGAGCTGGCTGGACTGGGGATGGGGCCCTCGTTCATGTCTAGCCCTGCATCTCTGTGAGGACAGGCCAGGAGCCCTTGACAGACCGTTCCAGGAGAAGATGGTGGCAGTTCCTCCAGAGTCCTTTGTCTAGGGGTCAGGGAAGAGAATGGGGACTGGTGGTGCCAGCGCCCCTCTTTGACCCGGGGCCCATCTCGGCTCCCAGCTCCCATCCCTATGTAGGTCCCCTCCTCAGCCCACCCCCCAGGAGGCAGGGCAGGCTCTGCAGGACCCCCAGGTAGAATGGGAGGAGGGGCCGAGGCTGTGCTGCAGGTGGGGGAGGTGTGAGAGAGCCAGGTAGCCTGGAGTGCAGCCTGCCCCTGCCCCGACCCGCCACCCCCAGCCCTGGCCTGCTATTCCATGGTGTGCCCTGGGAGGTGGACAGGGGGTGGCCAGGGCTGGGAGCGGCTTGAATAAGCCTCAGAAGCACCCCTGCTCTCTCCTGTGCCTCCTGTTTCTCTGCCTCTTTCGTCTTCACCTCTCTCTCTCTCTCTCTCTCTCTCTGAACACATATCTGTGCAGACGCACACCTCCCTGCCCCCACTCCCAGCACGTGCATTCCCACATTCCCACACAGAGCCCCCGGCCCCGCCCTGAGGCTGCCTCCATCAGCCTTGGTCACTGCCTGGATGAGTCAGCCAGCACCCTGCCCTGGGGGTACCCCCACATCCACAGGGCCACTCTGAGGGCTTTCCCCTTCTACACGGAGGGAGGCAGTGTCTGGTGGCAGGCTTGAGAGGGGTGTAATGGGTGTCGATTCTCTTGCAGGGAAGCAGGATGGATGAACAGCGATGCTCCTTCCCACCGCCCCTCAAAGTAGGTGGGCCTAGCCTCTGCCTCCCAGCAGACTCCCTCCCTGGGGCAGGGGAGGGGCTGGGGAGCTCTGCCTGCTGCCCATCAAAGCAGCCTGCCCAGAGGCCCAGGGAGTCCAGCCACTTTTCCTGAAGCAGCCTTACTGTGTGCCAGGGGCAGGGGCCATGGGGACAGCAGGGTAGACCTGGCCCCTGCCCTCTAGGAGTTCTGAGATGTGGAGAACCCCTCCCTTGCCAGAGGGCTGGGGCCTCCCTTCCAGCTCCTCCCCTCCTGCTTCACGTGCAGACTCACCCTGCCCCTCCAGCCTTCCCACCCCAAAGTCCTTATCTCTCCAAAGACACATGCCGGAAGATGTTTTCCCTGAAACCAGTTTTGATCTACAGCAGGCAGACTCAAACCCAGGCCCTGGGAGGCTTCTGAACTCCGGCTCCATGAAGCTCCTGTCGGGGTGGGGTGGGGGGCCTGGTAACTGACAGGTGGCGGGGACCCAGCAGATCAGGGGAGGCTCTTGTTTTTGACCCTGAATTTTCTTGGCATGGTTCTTGGTGCCTCGGGACCCCCCCTCAAAGCCCTAGAAGACCAGCCCTGGGGGAGGGGGCCCAGGGCTGCAGGCTGAGGGTTAAGGGTGAGTTGGTGGGCTGTAAGCCCAATGTTTGGTTCAGGGCAGGGGTCCTCAGACCAGCAGTGTCAGTCGGTACCACCTGGGAACTTATAAGAAATGTGAATTCTGAGACCCCACCCAGCCCACTGTCCCTAAAGCTCTGGGGGCATGACCCAGCACTCTGTGGTTAACAGCCCCCCAGGCACAAGGGTTTCTCCTGGGGAGGCAGTGAGCCTCCTTTCCTCAGGCAGAGGGAGACGCAGAGATTGCAGCCACCCCAGCTGTGGGGTCATCCCAGACCAAGCTCCCGCCCTGTCTGTAAGAGGCCCCATCCACTCTCCCAGCCAGGGGCTGGCTGAACAGACAGTGAGTCCCGGAGAGACTGGAAGATGTCAGGGCTGAGGACCCCACCCCAGCTTGGCATCTGCCCTGCTTGTGTTTTGCAGACGGAGGAGGACTACATTCCTTACCCGAGCGTCCACGAGGTACCCGGCTGGCCCCGAGAACCCATCCTTACCTTGAGCCCGGGGAAGCACTCAGGCAGGGCGTCTGGACACCCTCGGGAGTCTGACCACAGGCCTTGCTGTGGGGGCTGCAGACTCAGTTTACAGGCCTAAGACTTCAGAGCCGTCTGAACCCTTGGGCCTGCTCAGCCAAATGTTTCAGCATCCCAGACCAAGGTCATGCCCCCAGCTCTACCTGCCCCCACACTCCCATCTTGGAGACTGGGGCATGGGACTCAGCGCTATCTGGGTGTGGCTGAGGGAAGGGGCTCGGACAGGTACCCTGGAGGGGGTGGATGCGAACCCTGGGACCCACGTAGGCTCCGAGTTGTACTCCTTAGCCTTGATGGAGGTGGCCCCAGGTCTGAGCTGGGAAGGTGTCCTGGGGCCCCCAGTGGGGTACAGTATGGCGTGGCTCAGCTGAGTGCCCCTTCAGGTCCTGGGGCGAGAAGGGCCCTTCCCCCTCATCCTGCTGCCCCAGTTTGGGGGCTACTGGATTGAAGGCACCAACCACGAAATCACCAGCATCCCTGAGACAGAGCCACTGCAGTCGCCCACGACCAAGGTGAAGCTTGAGTGCAACCCCACAGCCCGCATCTACCGGAAGCACTTTCTTGGCAAGGTGGGTTGGTGTTGGCCAGCTGGTGTTGGGAGGCTGCCTGGGGTGGGTCACAGTCCAGCCCCTGGGAGGCTGGGCCTAGTGGGGAGCAAAACCCATGGTCTGGGGCTGGGTGACAGTCCCAGGGCCCTGAGTCTCAGAGTGTGCATGGCGGATTCACTAATTCATTCAACAAACATGTATCACAAAAGGCAGCATTATGACATAGTGGTTAACAGCAGAGAGTCTACCAGGGTTTGAATCCTGATTCTGCCACCTACCTCATAGGACATTGGGCAAGTTGCTTAACTTCTCTGTGCCTCAGTTTCCTCATCTGTACAAAATGGTGGTAGTGATGATACTCACGTCATGAGGTTGCTGTGAGGCTTAACGAGCCAGTGCTTGTATGGTGTTTAGATTGGCATCTGGAACAAAGTAAGCGCTCCTTGGTCAGGGTTGGCAAATAATGAGTGCCAGCTGTGTGCCTGGCCCTGTTCTAGGCACCAGGCTTACAGCGGCCGACACGACAGACTCAGGCCCTGCTTTCAGCAGCGTGGGGTAGGGGCTGGGAGGACACAGTGATGTCATGGCTTGACCTGGATCGATGCAACCACTGGCCCCAGAGCGGGGACCCTGCCCAGTAACAACTTGTCGGAGTGTCACCTAAGCGTTTTCGCAGGAGTTACTGGGTAAGCTCGTGGGAGCTGGAGGCGAGGTCCCAGCACATGACCTCTTATGAGTTAGGTCCCGTGCCAGGTGCTGTATTTCTGTCAGCTTACAACCAAAATGGGGAAGTGTATCGTGGACCCCAGAGCCTCACGGCCTGAATGGGGAATCTTGGTTCTTCCATTTACCGATGGTTTGACCTTGAGCCTGTTTCCTCATCTGTAAAAATGGGGATAATGAAATACACGCAAAGCATATATAGAACCATGCCTGGCGCACAATCAATACTCAGCGCTAGCTGTTACAATGTCTTCGTAATTACTAGGTGAGATCAGGATTATTTCTGTTTTTACAGAAGAGGAAACTGAAGCTCAGACAGGTGAAGTGACCTGGTCAAAGTTACACAATTACTGAGCCTGGCATTGAACCAGCTCTGGCAGACCTTCCATTGAGATTTGCCGCAGAAGAGGCATGCTCCTAGCTCTGTGTGTGTGTATGTGTGTGTGTGTTGGGAGGAGAGGTGGCTCCTTGAGGGGTTGGGAAGTTCTATGACCTCAATCTGGGACCTGGGGGATCCTGGTGCTAACCAGCAGGGTTGGGGAGATCCATTATGGTGGGGACTAAACCAGCAGGCCCGGTCCGGGGGCCATTGCCTGGGAGCAAACCCAGGACGCAGCATGGAATTCCACCTCCCAGCTGAGCCCTGTGGGTGCAGAGAGACCTGCATCCCAGGCACCCGCTGTCCAGAGGCTCTCAGCTGGGTCTGGCAGGTGGTGGAGTCTAGGGGAACTGTGGGGGCCTAGCACATAGTCGGCACTTAGAGAAGTTTGCTGAAGGAGTGACGAGTGACAGATGAAAGCGGTGGACCTTGAGCAGAACAGCATTTTAAGAGGCATTAGTCAGTACCTCAGAAGAGGCAAATGCCCGGGATCAGGTTAGCAGTACCGAGGGGAGGGGACCCCAGGGCTGGCAGAGAGGCAGGGCCATTTCCTGACTCTAGGTAGGGGACTGGGGAAGTGGCCAGGTGCTTGGGCACTGGGCCCTGTGCTGGCAGGGGAGGAGGTTAGGGTGACTTTAGGCATTGACTTCCTGGGAACCCAAGCCCACTCTCCTACTGTGTCCCTTGGGCTCCTCTGGGCCTGGAGGGCGGGCAGGGAAACTCCGCTCTCTGGACTCCCTGCCAAGTGCCTGCCACTCCCTCTCTGTGGATGATACCAAGCATTTGGGGGTTTCTGCCCCTCTGTGCCCAGGCAGGGCTGGGGGACTCTCTGCCCAGGTCCATTCAGAATGCCCCTGAGCTGCAGGTTTGCACAGCCACTGGCCCCTGCCTCTTTCCCCACCTGGCCTCTGAGCACAGGTGTTCATGTTTAAACAGGATTTACTTCCAGGATGATTCCTGGGGCGGGTGTGGCCAGGGAGCCAGCTCCACTCCCAGTGCTGGGGCTGGCAGGGGAGCCTAGGGCCAGGCTGGGGTGGTAGGTATCTCCCTGCACTCCCAGCCGGTGGCTTTGGGACTTTCCCACCCAGAGGTGCCAGCCCTGGGCTCCTCTCTGGGGGTGCCATTCCTGCCGCAGCCACCCCTCATGCCCCTTGGGGTAGCCCTTCCCCAGTCTGTGCCCTCTTCTCCAGGTGAGGTGGTAGGGTGGAAACCTGCCTGGCCAGCTGCCCTGTGTGTTCTGAGATGTTTCACTTCCTGTTTCTCACGGGCCCTGGCTTCAGGGGCCACAGAGCCACAGCTTGGGCAATCAGCTAGCTGGCTCTTCTTATCGAGCACCTGCCGTGTGCCCTGCCCTCAGAAGGGCAAGGCCTGAAGACGGGTATGCAGGTACAGATGTGGTCCTGACTTTGATGAGGACCCAGAGAGCCAAGGGTGCTACAGACATTCATTGATCACTGAGCCTGTGCCAGGCATTCGTCTGTTTCAGTCCTGGCCACCACCAAAGTCCTGGCCTCACTCCCATTTTGTCTCGAACTCCTGGCCTCAAGCGATCCTCCTGCCTCAATCTCCCGAAGTGCTGGGATTACAGGCCCGCACCACCACACCTGGCCTGCATTTTGTAAACTAGGCAAATGAGGCCCAGGTTGGTGAAATGACCTTCTCAGGCTGTCCAGCTGGTAAGTGGCAGAGGTGGGATTTGAACGCAGGTCTGTCTGATGTGGAGTCTGCTCTTAGCCATGACTTCACCTGCTGCTTGGTGAAGGACCACCGTCTGGGAGTGAGGTGGCTTCTGGTCTGGTTTCTGGAAGCCCCAAGCTCAGCCTCACCCACTCCCCCAATCCCTGTGTCCACTACAGGAGCATTTCAATTACTACTCACTGGACACTGCCCTTGGCCACCTTGTCTTCTCGCTCAAGTATGATGTCATCGGGGACCAAGAGCACCTGCGGCTGCTGCTCAGGTGAGGGCAGTGGGAGGAATGCTGAGAGGATTCCACCCAGCGAGGAGGATAGAGGATTTATAACCTGAGAGCCCGTCTCATTTCACCCACCCTACTAATCAGGGCTCAGAGAGGGGCAGGGATTTGCCTGAGGTCACACAGCAAGTTAGTGCCCGAGTCAGGCCTGGCATTTATTGTTACCTCTGGTCCTTGCTGTGGTCTGCCCCCTCTGGCCTTACTTCCTGTGAAAAGGCTCCCATCTTCCTGTCCTGCCACCCAGCCCCTCACCGTGTGGCTTTCTCCTCCCAGGACCAAGTGCCGGACGTACCACGATGTCATCCCCATCTCCTGCCTCACCGAGTTCCCCAACGTGGTCCAGATGGCAAAGGTGAGGCCTCTGCTCCCCTTAGTCTCCCGTGTCGCCCACAGGTGGGCACACAGCAGGCTTCAGTGGCAGGCCTAGCCCTGTGTGCTGTAGCCCTGTCTCTGTGGTTTGCCTCCCACGTGTTCCCACCGTGTCCGAGGCTACTGTGTGATCTGTCCCCTGCCTGTGGGTTTTTGGCACTCTTTGTAGCACCCTCAGATCCCAGGGGACCCCAGTTCTCTAAGCATCAGTGAGGCCCAAGAGACCCCATCCCCTCCTACCCGGCCTCACGCCCTACCTTGTCTCCCACAGCTGGTATGCGAAGATGTCAACGTGGATCGGTTCTATCCTGTGCTCTACCCCAAGGTACGGCTGGATCTGGGCCCTGCTCACTGAGGGTGGGTGGTGGGTGGGACGACTGAGCATTTATTGGGCACCTTCTGTGTGCCGGGTATTTTCCCCAAGTTCTCTCATTTAATCTTCATGATAACCCCACAAAGTCCACAGTTTGGAAATAGGAAACCACAGGAAGCTTCTGTGCCTTCCCCTAGGCGCACAGCTGACGGGGAGGCCTGCATTAAACCCGGGCTGTCTGCCTTGGAGGCAGGCCTTGCTCGCGTCTGGAAACTCTCAGCGCTGTTTGGGGACCCTCCTAAGAGCAACTTATGCTTCAGTCCTGCCCTGGGATGAGGCTCTTTTCCACTGGCCTCACTTTCTGATCCCAGAGGAGACCTGGGGAGAGAGAATAGTCCAGGCACCCTGTAGACACGGCTTCACAGACAGCAGCCACACCTCCAGCTCGGTGCCGGCTGCTGGGTTCCAGCTGCTGTGCCAGTGTGGGGACAGGGCAGGGGCCCTGTCTTCAGTGAGTCAGAGGGGCTTCCTGGACAGGGAAAAGCATGTTAACCCTTGTGGCCCTGACTGAGTCCTGGAGTAGAATAGCTCCCTAGCGATGGAGTGGTCCAGCAAGGGTGTCCTGAAGGAAGGGGCCTCAGAAGGCAGGTTCCGCCTCCTGGTTACAGAAGAGTAAACTGAGGCCCAAGGTGAGGAGGAGCGCTTGCTCAACACGCCATGGCAAACTGGTGGGGCCTTGGCCTGTTCTAGAAGGACTAGGTGGGTTTACAGAGGAGACAGGAGTGAGTGGAGTATTTCAGAGTAGAGGGGCAGGTTTGGCTGAGGCGGGACAGGGCAAATGGTAAAACTCAGGAGCAGTGAGCTTAAGTTTTGGGATCCAACAGACCAGGGGGTCAGGTCCCAAACCTGCACATACTCGCAAGCCATTGACCATGGGCACGTTGCTTAAGCTCTCTGAAACCAAGGTTCAGGGGGGGAACAGCTGGAGTGGCTCCCTCCCAGGCTTGTTTTGAGAATTACCTGAGATGATGTGTGGAGAGCGCCCGGCTCAGCACTAGGCACGTGATGGCAACTTGCACACACAGTCTCTTTACCCCTCATCCTGTCCTGCAGGCTTCCCGGCTCATCGTCACCTTTGACGAGCATGTTATCAGCAATAACTTCAAGTTCGGTGTCATTTATCAGAAGCTTGGGCAGGTGTGCTCCCCTCCTCCTCCCTGCTCCCCTACCCCACCTGGCCCTGTATCTGGGACCTCAGACCTTTGCCAGGGTAAACCACCTGCTGAGGGACTCAGGAGCCCAGGGGCTGCCAGGCTCCTCCCTCTGGCCCTTGCTGGGTATGAGTGGGGGCAGGAGGGAAGGGGCTGCTCAGGAGCTCCAGCTCAGTGACCTTGGCCCCACCGTGTTGGTCCCCAGACCTCCGAGGAAGAACTCTTCAGCACCAATGAGGAAAGTCCTGCCTTCGTGGAGTTCCTCGAATTTCTTGGCCAGAAGGTCAAACTGCAGGACTTTAAGGGGTGAGTATTAGGATGGGATAAGCAGAATGTAATCTGACCTATGCCCCTGGGCAGGGAGGGAGCCCCCATCCTGGCCCCATGGAGGCCTGGCTGGGGCTAGAGACTGAGCCATGGCCTGGGGGGCCTGGGGGCAGGTTTCGAGGAGGCCTGGACGTGACCCACGGGCAGACGGGGACCGAGTCTGTGTACTGCAACTTCCGCAACAAGGAGATCATGTTTCACGTGTCCACCAAGCTGCCCTACACAGAAGGGGACGCCCAGCAGGTAGCCTGGGCACCCACCCACCTGCTTCCCACCTTTTGCCTGTCCCCTCCATCTACCTGTGCACTTAGTGTCTGTCACACCAGGCTCAGTGCTGGGCCCTGGGATACGGAGATGGAAATGATCCAGTCCCCCAACTTCTGGGCTCTAGTTGGGGCAGGGGAGACAGGCCGCTGCAGTGCTGGGAAAGCCTAAGTTTCTATGTCTGTGACATTGGAATAATAATGGCACCTACCCCATAGGTGAGCGTAAGTGAGTGGATGCACACACACAGAGTGACTAGAACAGTACCTGGAATGTCATAAGAGCTCTATAGATGTGAGCTAGTGTTTTAGGGGAGTGAAGGGCATCGTGGGGCCATGTGGGGGCATTGAGTCTTGGCAGAGGTGGCAGTCAGGAAAAGATTGCAACATGAACTGACTTTTCGGCTGTGAAGAGCTGGGAGAAGGAGAGGGAATGTTCCAGGTGGAGAGAACAGCTTCTGCAAAGGCCTGGAATCAAGAAAATATAGGACTTGTTCTAGGAACTGAACTCAGTGATTTGTCACCTAGTCCTGAGCTTCCTGTAGGGCTGCCTGCCTTACCCCATGTCCCCAGCCCAGGGGGTAAAAGGGTAATGTGAGAAAATGGAAATAGTTATTCCTTATTTTTACTGTCTTTTTATTTTTTAAGAGCCTCTGTTCATTTTAGCAACATGAATATATAGACTTGTTTGATCAGTGAGGGGCCCTATTTGGGGTATGTAGATAGGAGAAGGGCTAAGAAGTAGGGCCTGGGGACCAGGACACCTGGGCTCAAGTATCCTAGCTCACTGCAGGACTTTGTAGGTCACTTGTCTCTTGGCCTTGGTTTCCTCATCTATCACAGGATTCTAAGAAAATAAAAATAATTTTACAAGTATTTCACATTTCTTTTAGGAAGCAAATCCTTAGACATGCCCTCTGCCTTCCCTGAACCCTCCCAAACCCTTGTGGGCACCCCCTCCCCAGTGGGCCCCTCTCTGGCCAGACTCTGAAGGCCCGTGGCCATGTGCTCAGTTGCAGCGGAAGCGGCACATTGGCAATGACATCGTAGCCGTGGTCTTCCAGGACGAGAACACTCCCTTCGTGCCCGACATGATCGCATCCAACTTCCTGCACGCTTACGTGGTGGTGCAGGCCGAGGGTGGGGGCCCTGATGGCCCCCTCTACAAGGTAGGTGATCCCAGAGCCTCCCAGGGCCTCAGCACAGCCCCGGCCACAGCTCTGCCCTCACTGGACACCTCTCTCAGCCTCAGGGGACCATGGAGGGCTCTGATAGTGGGAGACTCCCATCACGCCCTCTCTGCTCCCACAGCTCACACCCTCAAAGAGGCCGGGTACCCTCCTCCACCTCACGGCCTGGTACACCTTCCTCTACCTCCTTTAGCCTCCTCAGCCTTCACCCTCCCTGATGCTCCTGAGGTCCCCCTCCCTCCTCACCACTCAAACTCAGGGCAAAGGATGGAGGAGCAGAAATCCTCCTAAAAAGGATGCACCCACCAGCAGCCACAGAGCCGCCCCCCTAAGGGGCAGGGCAGGGAGGTGACTTAGAGGTTTCTGCTAGTGTGGGCAGAGCAAGCCACAGCCTCCACGGGGTCAGACAGCTGCCCTCTCTTCCAGGTCTCTGTCACGGCGAGAGATGACGTGCCCTTCTTTGGGCCCCCCCTCCCGGACCCCGCTGTGTTCAGGAAGGTGAGGAGCAGCCCCCAGCCCCAGGCATGGGCATGGGCAGAGCAGGACTAAATGGGTAGGGGACGAGGGAGGCACACATTCTACCTTACAGGTTCCGAGGCCCCACTGTGTGCCAGGACAGTTGGGCTCCCCTAACCATGCAACTGGGGTTGACTTTTATGTTCAACTTGAAAACTGTGACTTTTTTTTAAACAAGGTCATAGAATAAACTACTTTGTCATTTTCCATTTTCCATAGCAGACTGGCCTTTCCTTGTTTCTCTTCTCCTTTTGATGGTCCCAGTCTTCTTTCCTCTAAAACGTTTGGGGAGGGGGGCACACGTCTGTCTCACCTTTCAGAAGCCTTGGCTTCAGCCCCATACACAGCCCATTCCGCTATCCCAGACTGAGGCAGTAGGAGACCCCAACCCAGACCCTAACATCTGTGGGGTTTGCTCTCTCGGGGTGGGTGGCCGTGAAAGGCACAGGGGCCCTTCACAGGTACCAAGGGAGCTGAACGGGGAGAGATGCCCTTCTGGGAGCATCTAGTCCGTGACCCGCTGGGGTTTGGCCCCTTATTTCTGTGTTCACCTGATCGCCCTTTCTCATCCCCTCCACACTGGGGGCTTCCAGGGGCCTGAGTTCCAGGAGTTTTTGCTGACAAAACTGATCAATGCCGAATACGCCTGCTACAAGGCGGAGAAGTTTGCCAAACTGGAGGTGAGGACGGGCCCTTGGCCTTGAGAGGGCTGCCTGGGGGAGGACGGGTCTGTGGGTGAGTGGGGCTTGGTCAGGGAGAGGAGGTGGGGGCAGTGCAGCGGCAGTGAGGAGTGCCCAGGACGGGCTCAGAGGGGGGCGGGCTGCCAGAGGACACCCTTGGGCCGGAGGGGGATGGGAGGTGAGCGTGTGGAGGCAGATCTTGAAAGGAGCTACGTGGCGGGATCTGCGAGGGGCCTGAGGAAAGCCGGTGCAGAGGCCCTCCCCACTCCCCGCTTACTCAGAGAAGGCGGCCGCGGCCCGGAAGGTGGCCGGGATTCGAACTGTGGGCCGAGCGGCTGCTCACAGGGGTCCCCCTGACACCCGGCCTGGCCCACAGGAGCGGACGCGAGCCGCCCTTCTGGAGACGCTCTATGAGGAGCTGCACATCCACAGCCAGTCCATGATGGGGCTAGGCGGCGACGAGGACAAGATGGAGAATGGCGGTGGCGGAGGTGGCTTCTTCGAGTCTTTCAAGGTGAAGGGCCCCGGGTCTACCTGGCCGGGAGGGGGCGGGGCTTGGGCGGCGTCGGGGCTAGGGCTGCTGGACATGGCGCGGGGGTGTGGCTAGGGGGTGTGTGTGTGGTGGAGCCTGGGGCGGAGAGGGGGCGGGGCTTGGGTGGCGTCAGGGCTAGGGCTGCTGGACATGGCGCGGGGTGTGGCTAGGGTGTGTGTGGGGGTGGAGTCTGGGGCGGAGAGGGGGCGGGGCTTGGGTGGTGTCTAGATGCTGACTGCGCGGGCGGTGTGCTAGGTGGTGGGTCTTGGGCGTAGATGGCGGGCATTGGGTTGGATCGGCTAGGGCTGCTGGACATGATGCAGGGGTGTGGCCAGGGGTGTGTGTGTGGAGTCTGGGGCGGAGAGGGGGCGGGGTTTGGGTAGGGTCCGGGGCTAGGGCTGCTGGACACAGCGTGGGGGTGTGGCTAGGGGCATTCGTGGGGGTGGAGTCTACGGCATGAGGGGCGGGGCTTGGGTGGAGTCCAAAGCCAGGGCTGCTGGACATGGCGTGGGGGTGTGGCTAGGGCATGCTTGGGGGTGGAGTCTGGGGCGTGGGGGCGGAGCTTGGGTGGGGTCCAGGGCTAGGGCTGCGGGAAATGGAGTGGGGGTGTGGCTAGGGGCGTGCGTTGGGGGTGGAGTTTGGGTCAGGGAGGGGATTGGGGTGGTGGCTAGGGCTACTGGCCATGGCGTGGGGGTGCGGCTAGAGGCGGGGGGTGGAGTCTGGGGTGTGGTGGGGTGGGACCTGGGGGTGTGGCTAGAGACAGCTCGCGTGGAGAGCGTGGGAGTGGCTCGAGGTCAATTTAGGCTTTAGGACGGGCTTAGACTTGGGGATGTCCTCTGGGCCTTGGGTAGAGTTTGAGGCCCGGAGTAGAGTGAAAGGTGGGGCTGTGGCTTAGGGAGGAGTTACTAGTTAGAGGTGGGGCCTAGGCTTGGGAATTTACCTGGGAATTCTGCTGAAGGTTAGAGCTCTCTGGGAGACACCAAGTGCTGTACAAAGGACAGTGGCTGCCAGGTTGGCAAAGAAGAGAAGAGGAGGTCTCCGTCTTAACTGAGGGAAAAAATAGAGGTCTCAGAAGGGGTGTGCGAACCAAGTGACCGTTGGAAGTCACATGGCCTGTGACCACTCTGCCTGTCCCTAATTTAGCTTATCTTTAAGAGCACAGACTCTGGGTTCATGTCCCAACTCTGCCACTGACCAGCTTGGGCATTTTCTGAGCTTCAGTTTCTTTATCTATTGATTAGATAGAAATTCATTTATTCTTTGTAATGACAACTTGTCTCATACAAGGATAATGACAACTTATCTCATACAATTATCATTATTTGTAAAGCAGTTAGGTTAGTGCAATATTACATTAAGAAGCAAAGCGTAAAACCCTGTCCCATCTGCCTTAGCAACTGTTGTCCAAAGTGAAAAGCAGAGGAGGTGGCCTTCCTCTTCCCCCTTGGACAGGGCCTAGACTCACCCAGGCTGCAAGGCCCCAGGCAGTGGTCTCTTTGCTACCATCTCTTCCACCCACAGGAGGAGGACTCCCTACCCTCCAGGTGCCCAGCTGGGCCTCACCCCCACCTCAGGGCAGGTCACAGAGCTGGAGCTATGGGTTTGCATAAGGGGATTAGCCCAGCTGCCCAGGCCTGCCCTGGGACTGTGGGACTAAGGTGAACATACCATCTTTGAGAAGGAGGCTTGGAGAGCCCTGCCTCTGCCCACTGGAGACAGAGAGCAGGTGGGATGGGCACGGGTCTGGGGTGTCCCCTTCGAGGAAGGCTCCAGTGGCCCAACATGTGGTAGGTGCTAGACAGTGGACCTAGATTAGATCAAAGAATTTCTCAGAGGCAGTAGAGTCCACAGTTAAAGGCATGGGATTTGGCATATGAGATCCAGGTTCACCTCTGCCTCGGTTTCATCACATGTGAAATGGGCATGATGCTAGTCTCTGCCTCGTAGGGAGGATCGAATGACAGAGTTCTTGCAAGTACCTGGCCCCAGAGCAAGCAGGCGGTTTATATTGGTCTGAAAACAGCAAAGGAGGGAGGCGGGGAGGAAAGGAAAGAAGAAAGCTCTAAGAGGCCCTAACAGGAAAGAAACAGGTTTCTGGAGGGCTCTCTGTGCACACTTTTGGTCATGACCCAGTGTCTGCTGCAGTCCTTTTAACAACCACATGAGGAGGAAACTCAGTGGACAGCAGCTTGTATGGCTCAGAGACTTAGGGAAGTCAAGTGGCAGAACCAAGGCCCCAAATACCCTTAGGCCCATGTGTGCCTGCCTCTCATGTGGCACATAGGGAAACTGAGGCCTCATGAGGGAAAGGGACTTCCTGGGATCACCCAGAGTGGCATTGATGGGGAGGGACCACATACCTGGGCTCCAGGTTTCTCCAGGGGGAAGGGGCCTTATGACTCCTGTGCCTCTCCCACCCCCACCCTCCTCTTCACAGCGGGTCATCCGGAGCCGCAGCCAGTCCATGGATGCCATGGGGCTAAGCAACAAGAAGCCCAACACCGTGTCCACCAGCCACAGTGGAAGCTTCACACCCAACAACCCTGACCTGGCCAAGGCCACTGGACTAGTGAGTGCCCTCCTCTGTACTGTCCCCTGCCCCTCCCCCAGGGGCCCTCAGCTCTCCCCTGCCTCCTGAGAACTGGCCCCACCTCTCTTTGTTGCCCTGCTGTCCACGTGCCCATCCCAGACTCTGGACCCGATCTAGCCACTGCTCTCCATGGGGGGACACTAGGGTATTGAGAGCCTGCAGCCCCCTTCTCAGCTCTTGGCCCTGCCCTCCTCCAGGCCCCTGTATATTGGGGTGTGACTTTCTATAGGTCAGCTCTGGGGCAGCCTCTATGTCACATTCTTTATTGAGTACCTCCTATCTGTTGTGTGCTGGGACCTGGGCTGCTGTGTGAACACCTACTGTCAAGCTTTGGGTTTCTGGGAGCACCTACTGTGTGTTAGACTGTGGGTACCTACTGTGTGTCAGGACCTGGGCTGCTGTGTGGACATGCACTCTGTGAGCATCTACTGTGGGCCTGGCCCTGAGTTCCTGTGAGCACCTACTGTGTGTCAGGTCCTGGGCTGCTATGTGGGCATCAACTCTGTAAGCACCTACTGTGTGCTCTTTCCTGAGCTGCTATGTGAGTGCCTACTGTGTGTCAGGAAATGGACTGCTGTGTGAGCACATAGTATGTGCTAAGCCCTGGATGTCAGTGAACACCTACTATGTGCCAGGAAGTAAGCTGCTGTGTGGGTACCTCCTCTGTGAGCACCTCCTACTGTGTGTCTGCGGCAGCCAGGGCCTCTGTGGTTGTGGCTGCCTATCGTGTGTCAGGAATCAGGCTTCTGTGTGAGCACCTCCCATGTGACCTCTGTCTGCCTGCCGGGCTCTGGGATTCTACCGCTCACACTCAGGTAGTGCTGGGCACACAGATGGGTGAGGCCTGCAACTGTGGGCATAGCTGCTGTCCACCGCCTTGTGGCCACCCCAGGACACTGCAGCCACCGCTGTGCTCTCCATCCATCCATCCCTCCATCCATCCTTTACTGACTGTCTACTGCATGCCAAGCTCTGCGCTCAGTGCTGTGAGGCTGTGTCACATGGCAAGAGGGAACCCTCACCCCTGCCCCATGGTCTGGCCTGGCCAGGGGAGCAAGGTGGGGCCTCTACTGTCCCCAAGCCCAGTTGGCAGTCACCAAGCCCACTGTCATCAGAGGAGCAGGCCCAACTTCCATCCAACCCAGATTTATCAACCACTCCCTTCGTCCCCACTGGAGTGACCCAGCCTCCCGTGGGTGGCCGCAGAGGGGCCCCGGGGACAGGGCCAGGCCAGCAGCACCCACCATGGCAGTAACCAGACCCATTTCTGTTTTTGTTTTCGCACAACTCTCCCTGTCTCCATGTTGCCGCCTCCTTTTCCCACTCTCTTTCCTTGTTTTTTCTCCCCTTCCTCCCATCTCTCTTCTCCTCCCTTGACCTCTCTGCCCTCTGGCACTTGGTTTCCTGTCCCCTCTGCCTCCCTTGCCCCCTGTTCTCACCCTGCCTTCTCCTTTTTGCCTCCCCTTTCTTTCCATCTGTCTCTGATCCTCCCCTGGGCCCATCTCTGTGTCCCCGTCTCTCTGGGTGTCCCTCTGTGCCCACCTGGTGTGCTCTTGCCCACCCACTCGCTGTCTCACATGTGTCCCTGTCTCTGTGTGACTGTCAATCTCTCTCCCCTGTCTCCTCTGTCCTCTGTCTCTCCTTGTACTTCTCCTTCACTTCCCTGCTCTGTCCCTCTCTCTCCCAACTCCTGCACCGTTCTCTTCTTTGTTCCCTCTGCCTGTCTGTCCTCCTCCTTTTCCTGTCTCACTCTCTGTGTCTACCCTCCTACCATCTGTCTGTCTGTCCGTCCTTCTCTCTCTCTCTCTCTCTCTCTGCCCCTGCCCTCTGCTGCTTGCCAGTCATTGCTTATTCCTGGGAAAAGTGCGAGTAGATTCGGACGCCGGGGCAGTGCCATAGGCATAGGAACCGTGGAAGAGGTTGTCGTCCGCGGGGCCGCCGGCTCTGGAGGCTGCTGCACGCGCTGTTCTCTGCTCGCTCTCAGGACGGAGGCCATATTGGGGACGTTGCCCCCCTTTTCCCCGGGACAGGCCCAGGGGCGTGCGGGTTTGAGTGGCAGCAGCTCCGATGGCACTCAGCACCTGCTTTGGGGCCTGGCAGCTGTGCTAGAGCCAGTGCCCCCACCAGGGGCTTCTGGCCCTGCCCTGGCCCCTGGGGCCCTGGCCCAGTCCCCACCAGGATCCGGTACCCGAAGACCCTATGCCCAGCTGCACGTCCCCCAATATCGCCAGTCTGCATGGAGCGCCATCCCTCTCCCTGCCCTGACTCCCCACTCCCCACCATGAACTGGCCTGGGGGGTCCTGTCCCCCTGCGCCTCCTTGCCACCCACCTTCCTGCCTCCCAGAGAAGCTGGGACATGCTTCTGGTGCCCGGGGCATCCCACCACAGCGTGTGGGGAAACTGGGGGGATCTCTCAGCTGGGGAGGGGCCAGCTTGGCATGGGGCAGGGGCTTGGGTTGCTTCACCCCTCCCCCCACGCTCAGGCTGCAGGTCCCATGAAGTCCCGTGGCAGGGGGGCAGGAGGGCCTCCTCCCAGCCCAGCCCAGCGTGGCTGCCCCAGCCCCCTCAGGCTGTGCCCCTCTCCTGGACCTAGACCCTGTGACCTCAGGAGAGGCCCGCCTGCTTCCCCCCTGTGAGCTGGGGGAGGCTCTGGAGATGGACGTTCTCTCTGGGTCTTTCTTGCTTTGCACCTCTGCTTCAGGGCCTGGGTAGCAGGGCCCCTGGAGAGGGTGTGGGGGGCACGGGGCTCCCCGGGTGGGTGGCACTGAGTTGGTGCGTCTCCCTGCAGTCACTAATTGTCCCCGGGAAGAGCCCCACGAGGAAGAAGTCGGGCCCATTTGGCTCCCGCCGCAGCAGCGCCATCGGCATCGAGAACATTCAGGAGGTGCAGGAGAAGAGGTGGGTGGAGTGGGGTGGGAGGGACGGCACTCTGCTCCCCTCCGGCCCCTCCCCGACCCCCAGTCAGTGGCGAAGCAAAGGGGGCAGGAGGGAGCGCCCACCCTCTGCTTCCATCCCCCACCAGTGACGGCGACGTGGCCAAGTCCCTGCTGCATGTCAGGCGCCAGCTGGGGCCAGCACCTCAGCTAAGGGGGACTCATCCACTCAGCAGCTGCACTGGCTCCCCGGGGCTTGCTGGTCACACAGCTGGTGAGGGCAGAGCGGGATTTGAGCCCCGGTCTGCCCAGGGCCAGCACTCTGCTCTCTCTACTGCCCCCGCATGTGTAGAAGGGCCCAGTGCTGGTTTCCAGGCAGGCCGCGGTGGGGGCCTGGGGGCAGTGCTTGTGTGAGGGCAGCAAGCTGAGAGCAGATGGTTCTGGGCTGTGAATCCTGTCTCCACCGTACTGGGGCTGTGTGACCTTGGGCAAGCCATCGTACCTCTCTGAGCCTCACTGTGCCAATCTGAAGACTAGTGATAAGAACACAGCCGACAGCATGGGGCCGCCTTGGATTCGGTGCACTGCGCACAAAGCGGGGTCAGGTGCCCTGGGAGTGCTCTGGGAGGAGAGCGGGCATGGTCCTCACTGCCTTGAGCGCTCAGCATGCTGGGAGCCCTGGGTTCCAGTCTTGGCATTGTCATGGCCTAGCTATGCATCTCTGGGCAGGTTCCTTGTCCCTAACGGGGCAGTCATGCCCTCTCCCTGGGAGGAGACCTGGTGTGTTGCGTAGAGCTGCATCAGCACCTGCCCTGCCATTGGCCGGGCTAACCAGGGAGCCTGCAGGACTGCTCTGGGGTGGTTGGCCCCTGAGGACACAAGGTGTGGTTACAAGGCAGGAGGTGCCATGACCCCTCACTGCCTGGGCCTCATTCTACCCTGACGCCAGGCCCAGTGCTGAATCTCCCCGCTGCCCCCGTGTGCCCCGCAGGGAGAGCCCTCCGGCTGGCCAGAAGACCCCAGACAGCGGGCACGTCTCACAGGAGCCCAAATCGGAGAACTCATCCACTCAGAGCTCCCCAGAGATGCCCACGACCAAGAACAGGTTGGGGCTCGGGCCGCACGGGGCTCGGGGGCTTGGGAGTGGTGGACTTAGCCTTTCCATCCCCCGGCGCCCGGGGCTGCCCAGGAGCCTTGCTGCTGCCACACACTCCACTGCGCGCTTTGTGCATGCTGGGCCCCGTGCACGTGCCCCCCTGTCCCTGCCTCACCGCTGCGGGTCTATCGTGACAACCTCATGAGCCATTTCCAGATTGTGACGATGGGAGAAAGCCAAAGCTGGGCATGGGAGAGCAGTGAAGGCCTCAGGGTGGCATTTCAGATGGGTCCTCAGGGAAGACATCTCCAGGGTGACAGCTGAATTGAGAGCTGGGACTGGCGTGGCAGGGAGAAGAGGGTTCCAGGCAAGGCGCACAGCAAGTGCAGCCCAGGGACAGGCTTGCGGGAGAGGAAGACGGGTCATGTGCAGTTGCAGCGGAGTGAGTGAAGGGCCGGGGCAAACATTGTTACATTGTGCTGGGTTTTGGCGGGAGTGAGGTCGGGCGCTGAGCAGGCGCTAGCTGGTGGCTTTGGAGGCTGTTGGAGAGCTTTGAATTTTATCCTAAGTGCGATGAAGAGCCTTGGAAGGTGTCAGTTAGGAGAGCGAGGCTTCACAAAGCTGAGCGTGGTTGCTGCGTGCAGAAGGGGAGGAGGCGGGGCAGGCACGGAGCTGGGGCCGCGGCGCAGCGGGCTCTGCGGGCTCTGCCGATGGGTCAGGCAGGTGAACAGAGGCAGGAAAGGGCAACAGGGACAAGGCATGTGGCACCCAGGTGGGTCATTCCCATCGGAGGAGGAGGACTCAGGGAGGGCCTCCCGGAGGGGGGCCTATGGCTGATTTTTTATTTTATTTTATATATATATATATATATGATCTCGCTTTGTTGCCCAGGCTAGAGTGAGTGCCATGGCGACAGCCTAGCTCACAGCAACCTCAAACTCCTGGGCTCAAGCAATCCTGCTGCCTCAGCCTCCCGAGTAGCTGGGACTACAGGCATGCGCCACCATGCCCGGCTAATTTTTTCTATATATATTAGTTGGCCAATTAATTTATTCCTACTTTTAGTAGAAATAGGGTCTCGCTCTTGCTCAGGCTGGTTTCGAACTCCTGACCTCAAGCAATCCGCCTGCCTCGGCCTCCCAGAGTGTTAGGATTACAGGCGTGAGCCACTGCGCCTGGCCTATGGCTGATTTTTGAAAGACAAATTTGCTTTTTGGGGTTTGAGGAAGGACTAAGGCTCCGGGCAGGAGATGCAAAGGCCCTGGGTGTGGAGAAACGGTGAGGGAGTTACGAAGAGTAGACTATGGCCCCAAAGCCCTGCTCTGCCACCTACGCTGTGTCCCCTGGGCCGTGTGCCCACCTGCCTGTGCCTCAGTGCCTCCTCCCCTGAGAGGTGACGGGTCTAGTGATGACAGTGCCGGGATAACTCAGTGAAAGCGCTGAGAACAGCAAATGTGCACGAGACGACGTTCGTATCAGTAATCGTTGCTGTACTGGGCAGCGAGACGAGGAAACTGGACTCTCTGGGACAGTGGAAGCCGGGAGAGTGTTTGGAGCGGGGAGGGACGTGGGCGGATCCATGTATTAGGAAGGACACGGGGGCGGGGGAGGCTGCATGGGGTCCCCGGGAGCCTCAGCAGCCCAAGGAACCGGAATCGAGGCCGTGCAGGTGCTTGGCTGACCACAGTCTGGGCCTCCCTGGGGACAGGGCAAGGCAGGGAGGGCTCCGCCCGGGGTGCTTGGTGGACACTGGCTAACGGGCACCGTCTGTGGCAGAGCGGAGACGGCAGCCCAGAGAGCAGAAGTGCTGAAGGACTTCTCCCGCTCCTCGTCCAGTGCCAGCAGCTTCGCCAGCGTGGTGGAGGAGACGGAGGGCGTGGACGGGGAGGACACCGGCCTGGTGAGGGGCCCAGGGGGTCAGGTGCTCCACAGGAGCCTGGAGGGGGGCTCTTTGGTCTCTCAAGATGCTCTGGGTAGAAACATGAACCTGGGTATCGCTGAGATGTGATCAGGAGACCCAGCCAAAACAAGCAATGCAGGCTAACCCTCCCTTGCTCTGAAGCCTTCCGTGGCTCCCCGGTGCTATCCTCAGGGAGCCTAGTCTCTGGCCTTATTGGAGATCTGGCTGCTCCCTAGTCTCATCTCTGACCACTGCAGACATTCTGTGCTCCTTTGCAGCCCCTCAGATCTCCCAGGCCTGCTCCACCTCTGGGCCTTTGCACGTGCCATTTCCTCTGTCTAGAACACTCTTCCTAGAGGCCTTGCCAGGCTGACTCCTACTAATCCTTCTCAACCGAGTCTCATACACTTCCCCCTGAAAGCCTGCTTGATTTTCTAGTTCCGGGGTAGGTTAGGAACCACCCTCTACGCCCTCACAGTGCCCTGGGTTTGGCCCCAGCACTCTTGTCATTCTTCATTCAACAAACCTGTAGTGGGCATTGTGCCCTGCCAGGCCCTGTCCCAGGTGCTGCAGGTGCAGCAAGGAGGAGCAGACCCAGGCCCTGCCCACCAGGACTCGGGGTCTAGAATTACAGTGTCTCCCCACAGCCCGTCTTACCTTCCAGACTTTGGGCTCCGGAGGGCAGGGACCATGCCCCGTGTATCTTAGTGGCTCGGCCCCGGACAACGTCAGCAAATGTTTGTTGAATGAATGAGTGGGAGTGGGCGGTGTGCAGCTGGATCTGAGCCTGCCCCCACCCTGCCCTCCTGTGGCCTCCCTGGGGCAGACGTTGCCGGGCCCATCCTCCTTGGAAGGGCCAAGAGTGGGGCTTGTGGAGGGCAGCCCGGGGGGTGGGTGGCTGGGGGCCATCCGGTGCCCTGGACGTGCGCTAAGCTCCCCCCACGTCCCCCATCCCCAGGAGAGCGTCTCGTCCTCAGGAACGCCCCACAAGCGGGACTCCTTCATCTATAGCACGTGGCTGGAGGACAGCGTCAGCACCACCAGCGGGGGCAGCTCCCCAGGTACCAGCCAGGGCAGCTTCCCTGCCACGCAGGGCCACTCTTGGGGCAGGAAGGGGACAGAGCCGGGCATGGGCAGGGGGACCAGTTCCCGTGCCCCACATGGTGGGTGTGCGACGTGACTGCCTCGGACATGGGGGCAGTGAATAGGTCATTGTCCAGCCTAGGGGGGCAGGGCAGATTGCAGGGCTGGTGGCTTCTGGAAGGGTCTCCAAAGATAATGGGGGTGGCAAGGAGGGGAGTTAGGCGTGGGGTTCCTGAGGGGGACTTGGCGGGGTTGGGGAGCACCGGTGCCGACCGCCCATCCATGCCCCGTCTCCCTGGTGCCTCCCCGCGGCCAGTGAGGTGGCTCCCTCCTGCCCCCCTCCCCAGGCCCCTCGCGGTCACCCCACCCAGATGCCGGCAAGTCAGGGGACCCTGCGTGTCCCGAGATCAAGATCCAGTTGGAAGCGTCTGAGCAGCACACGCCCCAGCTGGTACGTGCCGCTGCCCGGGCTGCCCCTGGGAGGGGGACCAGGTGTGGAGGCTGGACCAGGAGGGGGTGTCGTTCGTCCAGTCTGGGCACAGCCAGTAACTTCTGCTCACCTGTGTCTCCTGCTCCATGTCTCCATCTGTCCCACCACCTGCCTTCCGCCACCATCTGTCTGTGCAGGGATGTTAGCCAGGCTGCCCCCCTGAAGGTGACACTGAGCAGGTGAGTCCCGGCCCCTCAGCTTGTTTGGTGGGAGAAGGTGGGAATGGGTGGGGGGGTTGGGCCAACTCCACCCTGTCCCTCTGTCCCCTCTCTGGGGTGAGAGCTCTCTGCCTGGGTTTGAGTCCTTTGCCATTCAGTTGCTAGGTGACTTGGGTAAGTCATGGCCCCTCTCTGGGCCTTAGTTTCCTTATCTGTGCAATGGGGCTAATAAATGCTGCCTCACCCCTGCCCATGAGTTGCTGGGAGGATTTATGGGTGCCTGAAAGGGACTCGGCAGTTCCTGGCTGGGGAGAGGTTTGGGAGTTCCCCATGGGATGGAAAGGCCCGGAGCCTGGAGCTCCAAGGCTGGGCCCCTCCCTCCCAGGCTTCTGTTCCCCTGCGTCATGGTGTCCCTCTCCCTTACCCTGCAGCTGAGGCAGCAGAAGCACAAGGCGAAGATGCTGTGTCAAGTCCAGGCAGACGGAACCTCTGCCCCCAAGGCCGACACCAGCCTGCGGGCTGCCCCTGCCTCCCTCACCTCCCCTAGGCCACCCATCTGGGCTGTCTCTGCAGGGCGGAGCCATCCGGACCTGGGACTGGGGAAGCTGCTGGCATCATCCCCATCCCCCAGGCTGGGGGTCCGGGATAGGGCGGGGATTGGTCAGTTGCAATAGGCCCGCAGGCCTGGCTTGCCCCCACCCTGGGCCTCCATGACCCCTGAGTGTCCCTCTGGACTGAGGGGGAGCAAGGTGGGAGAGGGATTGAGATAGCTCAGAGCACAGAGCATAGAGGCAGTGGGGGTGAGTGTGGGGGTGAGCACTGGGCTGGGAGTCTTGAGTCCTGGCTTCTGGTTTGGATTCTGCTGTGTGACTCTGGGCAAGTCACTCTGCCTCTGTGGACGCCTCTGCTGCAAATGGACAAGATGATTTCAGAGGTCACTGAAGACTGTGATTCCATGCCCCTGTCCCAAAGGGGGGGATTGTCCCCCCAGGGACCTCCCGTCACCCTACCCTGCTTATTGAGGTCCTTGGGGCCCCTGGTGGGCTAAAGGGCAGGGAGCTGGCTGTGACCATTGCCTCTCCTGGACCCTTGGGCTCTACCACAGATCTGCCAACGCCCTGTCCACTGCCTACATGTGACAGACAAGTGACCCCTTATGGGGGAATAGGGACCTACCTGGCTTCTTGGCCAGCACCCAGCTTAACCCCTGCCACCCCATGCTCCTGGGCACTGCAGGCCGGGGGCCTCAGCTGGCCTAGAGTCGCAGGCCTTGCCCCCCCCCACTGCCATGGAGGGGGCAGCCAGGCACGGCTGCTGGGAGTCCGGGTTCCTGTGTGTGTCTGTCCACACTTTTTAGGCGCCACGCCAAAGGCCAGCCTCCCGGCCCCAACACCCATTTTGGAAGCCCCTGTGGCTGTGTGTATGTCAGTAACAGTTGTACAAAATAAATTCTATTTATCGCTATTGTACCCAGAGTTGGGCCTGGCTTTGTGTGAACCCTGCCCAGACTGACCCCAGACAGGTGCCCAGTGGTACAGGTGGCAGGGGCAAGCCTATCCCTGTCAGAACTCCAAGGCCAAGCCATAGGCTCTGTGCCCTCTGCCCATGGCTTCCTCCCCATGGCACTGCCCTCCCCCCACCCCATCCCTCTTCCCCTTCCCCACAGGGGAGGAACATGGCCATGGGGTCAGGGAGACCTAAATGTGAGTCCGGGCACCATCTCTTATTAGCTGGGTGGTGTTGAGAAATTTACTGTTAATAGTTTCTCTGAGCCCCAATTTTCACTTCTGTAAAATAGGAGCAATAGCACCTCTGCCAAGGGTTAGTTATAAAGATTCAATGAGGCCAGGCGAGGTGGCTCACACCTGTCATCCTAGCACTCTGGGAGCCCGAGGCAGGCAGATCTCTCAAGGTCAGGAGTTTGAAACCAGCCTGAGCAAGAGCGAGACCCTGTCTCTACTAAAAATAGAAAGAAATTAATTGGCCAACTAAAAAAATATATATAGAGAAAAAATTAGCCAGGCATGGTGGCGCATGCCTGTAGTCCCAGCTACTCAGGAGGCTGAGGCAGGAGGATTGCTTGAGCCCAGGAGCTTGAGGTTGCTGTGAGCTAAGCTGATGCCATGGCACTCTAGCCTGAGCAACACAGTGCAACTCTGTCTCAAAAAAAAAAAAAAGATTCAATGAGCTGGTGCATATCAAACCCCTAGCACACAGTAGGTGCTCACTTAATGACCATTTCCTTTTCTCCTTTGTGACATTCAGTGAATCCTCTTATATGGCCACCAGGGGGCGCCAAGGGATTGCTTACCGGGACGGATGGGGCAGGAGGATGTGATGTAGGGCAAGGTCCAGGCCCCAGGAGCTCACAGTACAGGACAGCAGAGTAAAGGGCTACGCGTGGCCAGGGGAGAGGGGTGCCCACGAGCAGGGCCCGGGGCAGGGAGGCGTTGGGGAGAGTCCCTGGAACAGGTCCTAGACAGCTCCCAGTTCCTGGAGGGAGTGACCCTCCTGGGGGGAGGGAACTGCAGGTGTGGATGCAGAGTGCACCTGGAACTGGGAAGGTGGCAGAAGGTGACAATGGAGAGGACAGGGAAGAGGACAGAGGCGATGGCCTTGAACAGCAGACCAAGGGGCCGGGACTTCATGCTGAGGGCAGCGGGGAGCCGTAGGTGGAAGGGCGGCTGCTGGTGGGGATGGTGTCAGCTGAGGGAGGAGAGGATTGGGAGGCTGTTGGGGACAGGCTGGCCAGGACACTGGGAAGGCCCGGAAGGGGTCAGAAGGCACATGTGAGAGGACGAAGGACCCCATGGGCTGCGGGGCTGCGGGAGGAGTCCAGGGGCTCTGGGTGCAGCCTGGGTGTCGGGTGACTGAGGGCTCTCCCCTGGAGTGGCACCACAGAGGGAGAGCAAGTTTGGGGACATCGGGCTTGGGAGCGGGCACCAAACTGGGCCCCAGTAGGCTCAGCCATGTCCCCGACAGCCTGGCAGCACCCCCACCGGCCCCCACCCCCTTCCCAGGATGATGCTGAGGACACCCTGGGGACCGTGCCATGCTTTTCCTGACAGGGCCCTTCTGTAACCCTCGAATAGAGGTCATGACTCACACAAACCCCAGCCCCTCCCACCCGGGTTTGTCTGCAGGCTGCCCTGGGCTCAGAGGGTCCCCTGCTAGCCCCCCATGCTCCCTGATCAGCCCGAACCTGCTCTGGAGCCCTCAGCGCCCCTCCGGACCCTGTGTCCTCTCCCCTCTGGGCGGCCACCATTCAGCACCAAGGTTAAGAGCGTCTTTGGAGTCAGTTCTGAGCTCGCTCCTCTCCTGGCTCTGCAACCTTGGGCACAGCATTTTGGCTCCCTGGGCCTCAGTTTCCTCATCTGTGCAGTAGGGATGCTAATAGTCCTGACCTTGCTAGCTGCTTGGTATGAGGATTAAAGGACAAAATAACTTATAAAATTCCTGGGGCAGCTCTAGTACCATAGTGGGCTCAAAAAGTGTGTGCGGCGTGTGCGTGTGCGTGTGCACGTGTGTGCCTTTGCCCCCTCCCTGCCCAGCTTGTGCCAGGCGCGTCTGTGGGAGGGGGGTGGCCCCCGGGCTGGGTTTCGGCCCAGGCCCCCGCCCTGCCCCACCCCTCTCGGCTCCAAGGTGGGGCCAGGGGAGGCTGAGGACGAGTCTGGCCCCCGGGATCAAAGTGTCCAGCACTGTTTCTCTTGTGCCCGCGCCAGCTCTGTGCTCGCCCTGGGTTCTGAGGTGGGGAGGGCGAGCCGGGACACTCTGCCCGGAGGCTGGAATTAGGGCTTGGGTGGGGGGCACCGGGCTCCGGGAAGCGCTGGACTCTGCTTAGAAATAACTGTGGTGGCGGAAACAGCAGCCAGAGGTTTCTCTGGACGCAGGAGGGAAGAGGCCTCCCGCGGAGGGACTGGGGTGCCTGGCGGATGAGACATCCCATCCCCCTGTCTCCCAGGGGCTCCTCCCCTGCGGGCTCTCCCCGTGTCAGTTTCCTCCCTGCAAAGTGAGAACGAGGCCCCTACCTGCTGCTGTGAAGAGGCTGCCATGGCCTCTAGGGTACCTTGCTTGGTGCCGGGCACAGAACTCGCACCCAATATGAAAGGTCCTCCCTGCCCCCCAGCTGGGGTGTCCCTGGACATCCGTGGCCAACCCAGGGGCAACTTTGCCAAAGAGACAGCCGCAGGCCCCGGCTGGCCCGGCGCCAGGGGACTGGGACCTGGATGTTCTCTGCTGCTCAGGCCACAGGGGTGCTCCGCCAGGGACCCTGGAATGTGGAGGTCCCTCCCTCCTTCCCTGCTCCTCCTCTGCCAAGGGGACAGCCCAGGACGGAGCCTCCTGAAATAACCAGATCTGGTTAGCAAGGCTAATTTTAAAGCCACTCTGGCTGCCCCATAGGCCCTTCTGGGAAGCCATGAATGTCCCTGTGTTTGCCCCTGGGAGGCAGGGTGACAGGAGAGCGCAGGAGCTGGAGTGGGCTCCGAATGGACCCCCACCCACCTGTCAGCACTAGAGACCCCCAGCTGCCTCTCGGGGGCCCAGCCCCCACTCTACTCCAGTCTGCTCAGAAGAACCCCACGTGCTTTCGGGACCCTCCACCCTTACACTGGTGTCCTGAAGCCGCTCTGGGCAGGGGGCCTTACGCTGTCTGTGTGTCCTGACTCTCTCCCCTTCTGTCTCCATCTGCTCGATCTCTGTGTCTCTGCCTCTGTTTCTGACCCCCGTGGTTCCCTCTGCAGCTGTGGCTCTGTCCCTCTCTCTGAGCCCATCAAGCAGGCGCCAGACACAGCATTCCCGCCGGGCCTCAGCTGTGCTGTGCTCACCAGGTGGTGGGTGGTGGTGTCCACCTGGGTGCTGGGTTGCAGGTGGGGCCCCATGGGGGGGTGGCAGCAGTCCTGGGTGCTGCCAGGAGCTAGAACTAGGCAGATGGGGGCTGTGTCCAGGCACGACCTGAGCCATCAGACCAGGCCAAGTGCCAGCAGCAGGGAGTGAGCTCCAGGGGTAGGGTTGCCAGGTTTAGCAAATAGAAACCCACGGTGCCCAGTTAAATTTGAATTCCAGATAAACAAGGAATAATTTTTAGTTTAAGTATACCTCATGCAATATTTGGGACATACTTATACTAAAATATTATTCTTTGTTTGTCTGAGAGTCAAGTTTCACTGGGCGGTCTGTGTTTTATCTGGCAACCCTAGGGCTCTAGGGGTGAGGGGAGAGGTTTCTCGGGAACAGATCCCAGTCTGATGGCGGCGTCACAGCCATCCCTGGGGAAAGAGATCCCAGTCTGATGGAGGAGGCACAGCCGTGGCCCATGGGGAGCTCTGCTTTCTGGGGGTGGGTACAGTGCCTGGGAACAGGGGGATGGAGGGCACATGAAACATAAACACCAGCCCCTCCCCAGTGGAGCCACAGCCATGGGGGGTCTGTGTAGGGGAGCCCTGCTCACAGTAGGGGCTCCATAAATACTTGTTGAATGAATGAAGAATCCTCACCCATCCCCATGGGCCAGTGGGAGGGGTGGGGCCGGGAGCCAGATGGCCAGCAGGGCCTCCAGCACCCCACCTCCCAAGCCCCTTGGAGTGGGCACCCCCCACCCTGGGGGCTCCCCAAAGTGAGCTGCAGAGGGGAAGGGAGGGGCAGAGGAGGTGGAAACGAGCCAGCTTTCCCCATTTCATGCCCCCAACCCCGTGTGGGAGCTCAGCCCTGGGCAGGGGTGCAGGTGGGGTGGGGACGAGGGCATGTGACCTACCCTTCTGGCAGGGGGATGGCTGGGACTAGGGGCAGGCCGTAGGGGTGCTGCTCAGTGCTCCTTAGGGAGGCCACTTGGACTTGGGGAGCTCCTGGGACCCAGAAAGTTGGGAGCCTTGTTTCTGGGGAGGGGAGATTTGGACCTTTGTCCTGTGGTCCATTCATCTCGGGGGTAACCCTGGAGAGGGGACCTAGAGAGGCCTGTGGCCCTTTCATGCCTCCCCAGGACAGTCCCTTAAACAGCCCTTTCATTCATTCACTTGTTCACTTGCTGACTCGCTCCACTCGCTGTCACCATTTGCTGAGATGCCCCCTGCCCCCACCCCGCCCAGGCCTTGTGCTAAAAGGGTCTCATCAGCTCGCCCAGTCCAACAGGAACACACCTGTCCCAATGATAACACCGCCCCTGGCTCCCTGCCACTGGTCCCGACGTGACCTCGGGCAAGCCATTGACCTTCCACAGCCTCAGTTTCCCCTTCCCCGGGGTGGGGACAGTGCTAGCAGCTCCCCCGGAGGGCCACTGTGATGATGCCCGCCCACAGCTGGCACTTTGTAAGAGGGGCTGTGGCCGCTGCTGTCCTTATTATAATGATTATCACTTCAAGGCCCCTGCGGGCTGGGCAGGGAGCAGCTGGCCGGCTCCACGGCCAGTGTCACACGGAGGCCACTTCCTGAGTCTAGGGGCTTCAGCCACCTCGGCCCCAAGCCCTCCCCTCCA